AAAAAACAAACAAAAAAAAACTAAATTATAGACTGGTCACTGGGATTAGAGAAAGTGGACTTCCTTAATCCAATTAATTAAAGGCGGGGATGACGAATGTGCCATCATGAATTAGGGCTATAACAAAGGATAGTTTAGGGTTTCTGCAGGTTTCAACAGGTTCAAGTTAAGACTTAAGACCTATTTAAGAGCATTATGAATGCAATTTAAGATCTATTTTAAATCTATACTGGTAAAAAAGGTATGAATGATATGAAGGAAAATTGGTATTAGAAAAAATTGGTATTGGAATGATCAATACAACATTTTCCTTTATACAAGTGACATTAACTTCATTATTCAAAACGCCTACAATTCAGATTATTGGATTTAAATATATTTTTTAGACTTTTTAAGATGCTGTTCATTGTCGATTATCCTGCTGCTTTTTTTTTCTGATTAACTGATTAATTGTTTGGTCTAGAACAAACAGTGACAAATGCCAAACAAAATTTCCCAGAGCCTAAAAAGATATCTTATAAGTAGAGGAGATATTAATGAACAATATTAGCACAAGCACAGTCACATATTTTAGAGCTTAAAAAAAACAAGAAATCAGCACAGAAATGCCTAAAGTTGAGGCTATTATAGATGGTGTCGCCATTACATAGTTTTTCCAACCAGAGAACACTCAAGAGCCTATTTTTAAACTGTAAAATGTCCCACTCAGTACATGGTTACCTCTTACATAACCTTACCAAAAATGTTTGTTTATGTTGGCCGATACATTGTTACCAGAACTCCAAAATATCCATATTGGTATCAGCTTTAAAACTCCAGTATTGGACTGAAATTCAATGGGCTTTAAAAATGATCAAATATCAAAATTGATGTTGATTGGCTTAGAGATTAATGGAGTGATAGTTTTAACACTAGCATGGATTACATTAAGTTGAAAGACGGATCTGTACAATGCCATTCCCAGTGCAGTCTGGTAGATAAAGGTGACAGGACAATGACAGGTGCTGACCATTCAGGCAGGATGGCGAAGACTAGTCAGCAATTTTGCCTAAGGGGTATTTGTGTCCCCCCTCCCATATTCCTCTTCTGTTTCCTTCTGTGCTGGTTCAATCTACTATAACCTATCACACCAACACCACAACCCAATTCCTAACCATACCCTTAGCCTACTGACCTTGAATTCCCCCACACATTCAGCTCTGGTACATAATATTAGTCATATTTACTGATTAATCCGATCTTTCCAACCCTTCAGCATGAAAACCTATCCCGAACTTTACTCATACGTTAGTCAGCCCCTTCTTCACTACTACGTCCAGGCATTGATAAATGCTCATCATGACATGGAAACTAGGGTTGCACCATATGGTTAAAAAAAAATTATGATTCATGATTAATGTGAATGATCATATTTGCCATCACAATTTTAATTTTCTTCTTAAAAGCTAATAACACTGTGATTATGTGACATTTGTTTGGGTTTGTTACCAAACAGAACAGTATTTGTAGGCCAGGGAATCTCTGCAGCACTACAGTACTTCATTATAATGCTCTTTTAACACACATTTTACCTCCATCTAAAAAATAGTTTGCTTTTTTTGCGACTTATTATATATTGCGACTTTGATAATATTGTGATTAATTGAGCAGCCCGCACAAACACGGGCATAAAATGAATTTTAATAACTATGTGGATCAATGTGCATCCAAATTTAAATCTTAAATAGAAGCTTATATGAAGAAAAGACAGTAAATGTAGGGCACATGGAGACAAATAAGAAACAAAAGATTGACACCTGCACTCTGTTACACACCCACCGCTCTGCACATTCTGACACGGTTTGTTGACGCATTTCTTCTACATAACCACATCTCAAGTGTACACCTGCCAAACGATTAAAATGTACAGCCTAATACGCAAATTCAACACACCCGCGCCTGCTACTGGGAGACTAGAGGAAGGAAAACAGACAGCCACGCCATCCCCTCTCTCAAACTAGGCCATGACATCGGCTGATTAATAATCCACACATACATATGGAGATGAATAGCAATATTAATCATTGATAGAGATGCTGTCTTGCTGTCAGTAGGGGCTCACACAGAGCTGCTCTTTGTGCAGATACAGAGAGGGATGAGGACACAGCCGCTGGAGATCACAATCATCAGTGCATCATCAATATTTTTACATATTTCATCCACACGGTTTTTTTGCCCTGTACAAACACAGACGGTTATCCTGCCCCTATAGCAGCGTCATGCCCTCCTATGCGGTCCTGTTTTTCATATTGTACAGTAAATGCTGCTGGTGCACGGTTGCGTTTGGTCCTTATTTTGCACCAGACGTGAAGAATTGGCAACATTTGCATATGCGCACGTACACCTAAGTACACCTGTAAAAACCTGTCGCTTTCATAAAATGTACATATCAGACAGCAGAGGGATCGAGGGACTGAGGGACTGAGGGATCAGCTCAGCAAAGGTGAATGGTGTAGCTTAGGAGGTAGCTTCCTGCTACCTCCGTTGGCATACGTAAATCTGAGACAGGCTGTAGCTGCAGTGTCATCTACAAATTGGTGACCTATTCCGATTAAATGTGTCCAAAATCTTTACATAAATGCCCCCTTTTTGGATCAGGGACCACTATACAGTATGTCTGTGTTTAGACTTATTTATAGCTCACCACCTCCAGCCTGGGAAATTAACAGTTCGTTTTGAAACCCTAGAGCCCCGCCTGGACCAGGAGGATAATCTTACATGACAGCTTACGGAGGGTGCGAGTACAGAGCAGCGAGAGGGGTGATGGGAGGAGAGTGGCTGAGGGCGAGGGAGGGCTACTCTTACTATATGCCAAGGGCACAGAAAACCACAGGAGGGAGGGGTCGGCCTGGAAACTGAAAATGTATCACAAGTCAATAATGAAAATGCTCAACATCCTCCAGCTTTTCCCCCCTGCTATTTTGGCTGTATGGCTCTGACAACTACAGCCAATACACATTTCTTCCCTTCTTCTAGGACTCCTCATTACCTGTAAAACAATTCCATCACTTTAAAAACACATGATGCAAGAAAGAGGGCAAGCCATGAATGACCACCTTCCTAAACATGCATTCGGCTCTCCATTCAAGTGCTTAATTGGTTAAAGAATCCATACTGGCAGAGCCACAATCCCACTGCAGAGATAATAGATTTTTAATGGAGATGATGATGGTAAGGAGACCCTCTCGAGGGAGGTATCACGGTCGAATACTGAGACTCCAAGACCCATCCTAGAGCCTCTATAGCCCACCGCACCCTCCCACTGCTCTCCAATGACATCATCCTCCTAAACAGCATCCAAACCTAAGCGTTGACCGGCAGCTGAGGAATCACTATTCTGCTCTCTCAGGCCAATAAAACCGAAGGAGGTGAAGTGAGGACTCTAAGCAATTCTTATGAAGTCCATAAATTCAGAGATAAATCTAGCTGTGCCCTTTAAAACCAGGACCATTTATTCCCTCCTGTAGGGTTAGGAAGCCAGAGAAAGTACCAAATAAAAAAAACTTGAATGAAACCATCATTTTGCTCAAAGAGATTCCTTTTAGTAAACAATCCCCCCTTCCAAAAATGCTCTCCCTTCCAAACATTTATATAAAAAGTTTCTGCGTGCATCTGTGTGTTAAGTGTCCATGCTTAAACAAGCCACTCTTAAAGGCAATGGAGTACAAGTGACCTTTTCCCCACTGGGTCATCCTTTCAGCTTGTCGGGTAGGGTGAGACGGTAGAGGCAGCAGCAGATGAAAAGGCCAGCTGACCTCCACACAAAGGCCTGCCAGTTAGAGGAGCCATGAGGCTTATCATCAGACACCAAACACCCCAAAACTCATCAGCGGTCTTTTTTTTCTTTTTTGTAATCAGAGGAACGAGTGAGTCTTGTCCAGTTGTTTTAGTTTGCGAGTGCATGTGAAAGCATTCTGCACAGAAAGCACACGGTGCCCGTCGACCTGTAGAAGATCCCACCCAATGTTTAGTCAGTTATACAAAGAAAAAAAAACATTCAAACAATCTTCCTTTTAGAATTAGTTTGATAATAAAAGAACATTCCCTGAACCATCTTTGAGCTTTCCGCCAACACATTCAACAAACCCCGCACATGAAAGCAGTTTGAAAAGTTGTCATGTGTAAAATCTAGAAGTATCCAGAAGAGTCACACTTCTTTTGGCATGCAGCTGGGCACCACCCAGGCTACAGCTGTTCAGAGAAAGGGACAAGAGATTAACATCACACCTCTGTCACTGGCTGGACTATCTCCAGCTGTTTTCCAGCTGCCTGAATTCTTGCACTACAGAAGCTGATGTCAAATTCACACGACAAACACTGGACCTCCTTAACAGAGCCCACGTAGTCCACATTGTAGTCCAGCTTGCATATGAGCATGGGGG